CCCGCTCCGGGCGGCCGGAGCGCCGCGGGAAGCCTCGCCAGGCCCCTGAGCCGAGGGGAGAGCTCGGTGAGTCCTGTGCCGGCACCGGTACCCGCAGCCCCGCTGGTGGTCCTGGCCGTCCCAGCGGCCCTCGGCAGCAGAGGGGCAGCCCTGGCCGTCGGCCTGTCCCGTCCATGGGGGAGACGGGCCGGGGCCTTTGCCAGCGGGGAGGGGGCAGCTGCTCCTGCCCAGGGACGGTGGCCTGCGGGGAGCGCTGGCGGGGCTGGGGGTCCCTGCCAGGCATCTGCGGGGGTGGGGGGCTGTGCAGCATCGACCCTGCCCTGCAGAGCTGTGGGGGATGACAGCACTTTGTGCAGAGGAAAGGGCTGAGGAGCAAGGTGTCCGGGTAAGGCAGCTGCAGGAGGGAGGTGGAGACAAGGCGCTGGAGGTGGAGGGCTGAAATGGCTTTTCTGTGTGTGGCACAGGCGGACTTGTAGAGCTCCGGAGGCTCTGGGGATCCTGGCAGAGTGGGGCTGGGTGGGCCAGAGCCTGCGTTGCCCTGGGATGAGAGGGCAGGGTGGGCAGACAGGCACTTGGGTAGCGATGAGTGGCAGTGCGCCAGTCTTTCACCATCTCGGTGCTTCCAGCGCTGAGATCCTTTCAGCCTGGATGAGGGATCTGCGGCTTTTGGCAGTGCAGAGAGGGATTCGCAGTCCTGCCTGTAGTCTGATCTCCAGAGGCAACTGAAACCATCCTTTGGAGATGCCCACCGTGATCCTGCTACCTTGTACTGTCCTGGGGGGTGGAACAAGTCCAGTCATGGATCAGGTTGCCCAGAGAGCTTGTGTGGCTTTCAAGACCCAACTGGCATAAAGCCCTTAACCACAGTGCTGATCCTGATTTGGGCAGGAAGGTGGACTGGAAACCTCTTGAGGTCTCTTTCCATCTGAATTATTCTGTGATCGTGGTGACCCCTGTGGGAACTGACTGCAGAGGAAGGAGAACCCAGCTGCCCACAGCCAGGCACGGGAGGAGAGGCAGCTGCAGAACAAGCCCAGGAGTGGCCCCAGTGCTGGGGCACCGTGGCCGTGCTGTGGCTCCTCTGCGGCTGTTACCTCTGCCAGTCCTACCCCCACGGTCACAGCTCTCTCAAGGACTGCAGAGCTGAGCCCTATTGCCTCGATCTCCCAGGAGTGCGTGTGGGCGATGGGCCCCCATGCGATGGAGCTCCTGATTTCACCTGGCATGTCCCTGCCCCAGAAAACCTCCCCCATTTTGCGTGGCTCGGCTCCCGGACACTCAGACATGCTCTGACCCTGCCAGGCAAGGAGCCTGCTGGGCCCCAGGCACGCTGTGATGGCTCCTCGTGCAGCCCAGTCACACCTCCGCTCCTAGGGGAGCTCAGCCATCTCATGCTGTCACATTTCCCTCTGCTTTGGTTGGTTTCCTGCAGCTTCTGTCTCTGGTGTACCAGTGTTGTGCATACTGGGGACATCCAGGGCTTTGTGTCCTGCTTCTTGGGGAGGAGGGCGCCTCGTTACACTGCTTGGGGACTTGTTCGGCCCATCTCCAGGGATGGCCAGCGTGCAGCTGTGTGTGTTGGGGGCAGCAGCCCTGCTCTGACTCAGCCGTGCCTTGTACTTGTCCTCTCTGATGCCTAGGTCCCTGTGCTGGATGTGGTCCCCATCTACAGGACTCATTCTGCCTTCTGCATGGCTCCGTTAATAGAGCTGTTTGACATGTCCAGGTGACCCTGGGCACTTGAGCTGCTGCTGTTGAGCCTTCTCACAGATAGTTTTTGTTTATTTGCAGGTCCCTGAGGGAGTCGAATGTATTGGACTTTGTGGCAGTCCCGGGAGAGCCATGGCCATGCTGTGTCATTAGCAATGATTCCCTGCTGACAGGTACCTCGGGGTCAGAGGATGGGGCCGCTTAGATCCCTGCCAGTGCTTCTTCGCTTGTGTTGTGCAGCCCCAGCCTTTCAGTCAAGGTTGTCACAGTCGCAATGCAGGAGTGGCACAGGCCCAGGGTGTCTCCTTGCAGGCTGGCCCCACTGGTCGGACAGCTGATGTCTGCGGTGTCAGCGCAGCCGTTGCTGCTGCTCTGGCGCTGGCTTCTGCTGTTCTGCCAGGCAGAGTCTGCGGTGACGTCAGCAGTCGTCCCAGACAGTGGTCCCACTGCCCTCCCCCATGTTTGAGCACATTCCTTCCTGCTCTCCTCCTGCAGTACCTCCCACTCTCTAACAACCATTTAAATTCAATCTCAGCCCAGTTTCCCATGAGCTCTTCAGTTACCACCTCATTGGAAAGTGCTTTGTCACCTGGGGTGACATGGTGCAGCACCTTGCTTGTTCCCAGGAGAGCAGATGTGATCAGTCTTGCCTGAGCCGTCACTTAATATCTGCCTCTTCCCGTGCCAGTGCTTCTGCTGTTCTAGCTGTGCTCAAATGGAAAAAACAGCAGAGGCTGTTAGAGGTGGGGGGGTGCAGTGATGCTGTGGAGGTGTAAAGCGGGTGCAACTTTTTGGGGTATAGATAAGGAAAGAGCAAGGAGAACAGTGGAGGGACTGACCCTGCTCTCAGGAGGGATCATGGTGTGGCCCTGGACTCATGTGAGCTCTAAGTAAAGGAAAACTGACAGGTTTACCTCCTCTCTCCTGTAATCACCTGGCTTCTGGTCACTTAACTGTCTCTTGGGTCCCTTGGCTTGGTTGTCTCTTCTACAAACTCAGCAGCAGCTTGGGTGATGCAGGTTTTAGTTCAGCACCTGGGACATGGGGAAGCACTGGTCAGAAGTGACCACTCCTCATGAGGCTTCAGGTCCTGCTGCCCTGGGTTGCAGGGCATGTGGAGGAGCTCTGTCCTCCCGGGACAGTTCAGGATCCAACCTTTGTGGAGGAAGCACTTTCTCTGTGGCAGTGAAACGTTCCCTGCTGTCCTGTGAGCTAACTCTGAAGAGTAGTGAGTGATGGCAGTTTTGATTTGCCCCGAGTTTTCCTCTGGGCACCCTCCAGCTAGCCATTGCTAGGAGCTTCCTGATGCAGGCTGGGCTAAGGAGCTTGTGTCCGCTGTGGCAAGTGCTGGCACCTAGCTGGACCAAGTCTGCGGCTCTTGGGCACCTGAACTCCAGTGGAAAGTCAGAGTTTCAGCCATGTGTCTCCTTGGAGAGGAAAGCCACAGAGACTCGGGGTGGTGAGGGGTGTGATTATCTTACTGCCCTGTGTACAAACTGGTTCTCACAGTGTTCGCCACTGCCTTCCTTGCAAAGACCACTGTCTTTACTGCCTCGGGGAATTTGGGAGGTCCTGTGTCTCTGGACTTTGATGTTGAACTGAAGGAGACAGGATGGGGCAGAACAGAGCTGGCTCAGGGGCACGTGGGCGGCTGGGGATGGGCTGTGGTTGCATTGCCCAAGCTCAGCATGGGGCTGGTCAGCCTTGGCACTGTCACCCAGGGCCTTCGGGCCAATGTGGGGACAAGGCTGGACATAATGGCTGGGGGTGACCATGGTCGCACTGACCAGGCAAGGTGTAATTGTGGGAGCTCAAGGTCGGGTGCTTTGTTCTTGCCTGCAGCCCGGTAGGAGGGACCACGTCAGCTGGAGACGTGGAGCAAGGACAGGGTCTGGCCGCGTGCTCATTTTGGGGGTGGCTGTGCTGCTGTGCGGTCCAGGCACAGCGCTGGGGGTGCAGGAGGTGGGCAGTGTCCTGGGCCCTGGCAGGGCTCCACCAGCATCTGTGCCTGCAGCTGGCCTGGAGGGAGCTTGCTTGCCAGTTCAGGGCGGGCTGCTGCGCGTGCTGGGCTGGTGCGCAGCGTGTGGGAGCTGTTCCGTGAAGGAGGCAGACACAGGAGCAGAGAGAGCCAAGTGCCCCGGTCTGGGCTGTGGGTTGTGACCCACCAGAGAAGGGACGATCTGGAACAGCCTCGGCTGGAGCGGGGAGCTGAGGTCTCTGTGCTGCAGGGCTTGTGCCAGCCCCACTGCCCCAGATCCACAAGGATGGATAGCTCGGACTGGGCCGGCCTGGGGCTGCGAGGAGCGCTGTGGGCTTGTCCTGGAGCTGCTGGGGTGTTCTCCATGGTGCAGCGATGTGGATGGTCCTGGGCTCTAGCCAGGTAGCAGGGCCTGTTGGCAGGGCGGTAGCGGGGTCTCATGGGTGCCTAGGGCCTGTTCCCACGTCCGGGGCCCAGAACTCACCCTCACATGCCGTTCCTTTGCAGGCTGAGTGGTGCCAGCTGCAGCTGGAGATGGTTCACCTCTTGCCTGTGGGGAGGATGCCGGCTCTGAGGCCCAAGTAGGAGGCTGGCTATGGGGGCCACACTGAGGCTGGCACTTCCCTGCTGCCCTCCATAGCCCAACAGCAGCTGGCTGCCGCCCTGATGAGCCACCATGGAGCAGCCCACACGGATGCCCCGGCCCCTCCGCCTCCTGGGCTTCTTTGGGCGGAAGCCACAGGCTGTCGGAGGGGAGATGTTGCCAGAACCGGAGCCAGAGCTGGAGGAACCTGAGGAGATGTGCATCACGCTGCCCCTGGGCGAGGGCGGGGAGCTGGTGGAGTGTCCTCTGTGCCTGCTGCCCCAGCCTCCTGAGGCCTTTCCCACCCTGGCCTCCTGTGCCCACCGCTCATGCCGGGCCTGCCTGGAGCAGTACCTGCGCATCGCTGTCAGTGAGAGCCGCGTGCAGGTGGCCTGCCCACACTGCCCTGCCATGCTCCAGCCTGCCGATGTCCACCACCTCCTGGCCGAGCCTGCCCTCCGTGACAAGTATGAAGAGTTCCTTCTGCGGCGGCTGCTGGTGGCCGATCCTGGCACTCGCTGGTGCCCTGCACCTGACTGCAGGTGACCGACTGGCCACTTGTGCGAAGCCAGGAGCAGGGGGGTGGTGTGGGTCCCCCCTTCCCGCACTGGCAGAGGCAATGGGCTTCCCCACCTGGGAGATGGTGTGCAGCAGGCTGCGCCTGTGTCCTGTGAGCCTTTTCCAGGCTTGTTCCCCTCGTGACTTGGTCCCCTGTGGGGCTGGGCCTGCTCAGAGAGATGTCCCAGTCCCTGTCTCAGTTGCAGAGCCCAGGCAGCTGTGTGTCTATGCCGGGGTTGGTGCTCTTGGCCATGCTGGGCCAGTCTGTGAGGCCCCAGGGAAACTGTGTGGGTGCTGGATGGGGAAGGCTGTGCTGCAGTCTGAGCTGGTGAGAGTCTCCTGGCTCTCCTGAGCAGGGGCTGCAGCTCTGGCTCGGCGTAGAGCTGGGACTTGCTGCTGCATGGCCTGGCTGTGCCAGGGAGGGCAATGGCTGCATGCTGTGCGGGGACACAGGGAAGGCTGTGGGCACCGCTAGACCCCCCAACACTGACTGCCTTCTCCCCACAGCTACGCTGTCATCGCCTACGGCTGTGCCGAGTGTCCCCGCCTCACCTGTGAGCGCGAGGGCTGTGGCACTGAGTTCTGCTACCACTGCCGGCAGCCCTGGCACCCCGATGGTCCTTGTGCGCCAGTGCCGCCGGCCCCCAGCCTGGCCAACCCCACAGCACAGCTAGTCCACCCGGAGGACTCGGTCCATGGTGAGACCCTGGCCCAGGGTGGGAGCAAGCAGGGCAGGGATTTGGCACGGCCAAGTGGCACAGTGAGATGCCTTTGTACCTTCTTGCCTGTGGGGATGCTGGAGCCAGGACCCAGTGGTCCCCACTGGCTGCCTCTGCGTGGAGCCATGTGCCAGTCGAGCTGGGGGAGTGGAGCGGGGCATTGCTGGGGCTGGCTCACCCTGACACCCATGGGATGGGCTGCAATCCTGGGACAGGGTATGGGGGTGGACCTGTACTGTCCTGTCCTGCTCTCCCCCATCCCATCTCATCTCCTCCCCACCAGCTGAGGCCGAAGACATCAAGGTCTGTCCCCGCTGCAGTGCCTTCATCATGAAGATCAATGACGGGAGCTGCAACCGCATGAACTGCACAGTTTGTGGCTGCCTCTTCTGCTGGCTCTGCCTGCAGGAGATCTCTGACGTGCACTTCCTGAGGTCAGTGCAGGGCTGTGGGGCCGCTGGGAGCCGTGGGGTGTGCTGGGAGGCTGGGGTGGAGGGGCTGCCAGGAGCTGAGGGGTGGTTGGAGGAGCTGCCCCTGGGTTGAGCTGGGGGTGCTGTGATGCTGTGCTGGGCCTGGGTCCCTGCCAGGAGCTGTGGGGCTAGGATGGGGAGCAGCGAGGCTCTGCTGAGAGCCACGGGCATGCACAGCCAGGTTTTGGGCTGGCTGGGCTGTGGGGCTGATCAGGACGGGGAGGGAGCAGGGAGGTCTGTGCTGCTGGGTCTTGCAGGGCTGGAGGCCTGGGGCTGGCTGTCAGCACCCCACAGGCGGGGGTCCCAGGTGGCAGCTGGAGCTCAGGCTTGGGAGGGAGGAATCTGCTTTCCAGTTCCCTGATGAGCCCATGGGTCTCCCCCAGTGCAAGGGCGGGCTGTGCTGGTGTCTGCCTGCCCCCGTGCAGGAACCATTGGCCCAGCCCCACTCTGTGTCTGCAGCCCCTCTGGCTGCACCTTCTGGGGGAAGAGGCCATGGTCACGGACCCGGAAGATCCTGTGGCAGCTGGGCATGGTGCTGGGGGCGCCTATGGTGATCTCCCTCGTCGCGGGCATCGCTGTCCCTGTCATTACCATTGGGATCCCCATCTACATGGGTAGGAAGGTACTGGCAGGGGGCCCTGGAGTCCCCATGGTCCCGCTCCCTGCTGAGCCTGGCAGCCCATGGCCTCAGGCCTGGACAGACAGCCAGTGCTCACCACTGCCCACAGCATGTCCCTGTGCCACCCCTGACTCCCCACAGCCCCTCCTTGCTGGGACCCTCTCTGCTGCCCACCCCAACACCCTCTGCCAGCGAGGGTACTCTCAGCCTGGAGAGGTGGGGGTTGGGGTGGGCGAAAGGAGGAAGGGGTCTGGGGGTCCAGGGGTGTTTTCCAGGGATACCTGAGCTGTGGTGGCAGCGCTATTGTGGCTGCCTGTCCCTGAGGAGATGGAGGGGGTGTCCTGGCAGCTGCAGCTGCGGCTAGAGCTCTGCCAGGGCTGGGAAGAGGCCCCGTTCCTGGGGGCTGTGCACTGAGATCCCTGCAGAGCCTTTCACCTGTCTTGCTTCTCCTCGAGGTGCTGGGCCAGAGCCGGAGGAGCAGCCTGTCGGGGTGCCAGCAGTGCCTCTCTGTCACCAGCAGTGTCCTCCTCTCTCTCTTTGTGTCCCCCGTCATAACAGCTGTCACGGTGGGTAAGTGTGCCCTGGGCAGGGCTGAGGGCACTGCCCATGTGCTGGAGAGAGTGGGGCTGGGACCTGGGAGCTGCTGCGGCGGAGTGTCTCCAGGGGGGGATGTCTGAGACCTGAGGCTTCACTGGGGGGGTGGCCAGCCAGGGCTGCCGGTGGGGGCTGGGCAATAGCTGCCTGTCTGCCCGCAGGAGTTGGCGTGCCCCTGATGCTCACCTATGTCTACGGGGTGGTGGTGCTGTCACTGTGTCGGAGCCGCTGGGGGTGCGGGGGCAGCCGCAGCCCGCCTGGGGATCTCGGTGTGGTGGAACTGGAGAACCTGACCAAGCGTGAGTCCTGTGCTGCCATCCATCCTCTGGCTTGTGCCCACCATTGGGCTGCAGGGGCCCTGGTCCTGGCCTGCGGCTCTGCGGCTGTGACCTCTCCAGAGCCAGGGGCTCCCTGTGGACCCGTGTTGGTTCTGCCCTGGGCAGTACCATGCACAACTCCGTCCCTGCAGGGAGGCTGCAGGCCGGTGTCCTGGGGCAGGCGGGTGCTGTCCAAAGCAGTCTGGGACCAGCTTGTTTGCACCCCCTGCTGAGAGCCTGGTGGGCTGTTCTGCTCCCTGCTCTTATGGGGAGTGGTCCTTGCGGACAGGGTGCTCAGCTCCACCTCTCCCTCTGCCAGTGAATGAGCTGTGGTCGGTGCTGCCCAGCCCCAGGGCGGGTGAGGACGGAGTCCTGGACACAACCACCTCCTTCCCCAGCAGCAGCTATAGCCCACGCCACGGGGCAGTGTGGAAGGAGCAGGACAGCCAGTCAGCCAGCACAGTTGCCCTTGCGGGGAGCATGCTAAGCGAGGGCCAGGACACATCCTACAGGTGAGCTGGGCTGCTGTGCTGGGGAGGCAGGGGGGATTAACAGCTTTCCCCACACCTGCTGTACCGGGCAGGGGCTCAGCGACATCCCCCTTTAGGCTGCTCCCCTCAGTCCCTGTGTTTGTTTGCAGGGAAGGCCTCAACATCGAGGTGGAGGTGTCGGTTGAAGCAGTGCCGCATCCTGCCCGGGAGCAGAGCCTGTGCAGCGCACTGTCAGGGCAGAGTCTCTCTGGGGACTCCCTGGGAGGCACCAGTGACAGGTGCAGTGCCACGAGCGTCCCCACGGAGTGAGGGGGGCTGTGCAGCACAGAGTGGGGAGACCCTCGATCCACAGAGCCCCCACCTGGGCTCCCACCTGCCACTGACACAAAGATCCCATGCCCTCCCGTGGCAGAGCTGGTCACCCTCTGCGGGCCGCCACCACCAGCCCCATGAACTGGGTCCTGGCCATCCCCAGGCTGGGCGGGCACTGACTGCACTCAGTGCTGCCTGCACCCTGTGCCCAGCCCCATCCACCCCTTCCCCGAAGGCAGTCTTGAGCATTGGCACCACTGGGAAATAAAACTACTCTCCGAGGGTCGGTCTGTCTCCTGTGGCACAGCCACCCCCTGACAGCACAGCCCTCATCGCAGCAGGCTCTGATCTGTGCCGTGTTCCCCTGATGGGTACTGCAGGACGCCATGCAGGTGGGGCAGGGGGGGTACAGCGGGCCCAGGCCCACACGGGTGCAGGCAGTGGAGCAGGTGCGGGGGGGACAAGTAGGGCCAGGGAAGAGTGGAAGAGTGGGGATATTCCATTGTGCAAACACCCCAGCAAACTGACCGCTGTGGGTGCAGGACCAGCACAGCACATGGCTGGCAGCTGGGAGGGTGGGATGTTGCTGCAGAGCCTCAGCCAGCACCAGCAAACTGAGCAACTTGGGTAGGGGCTGGGCCCTGCCCCAGCTGGACCAGCCCCTGGTGCACAGCGTGTGGCGCCCGTGGGTTCTGCGTCCCCCCAGCTGCCTTCCTGGGGGTAGCACATGGCTTCTGGCAGACAGACCTTGAGTGTGGTGCCGGACAGCTGCAGCTGGGGGCCGAGAGCAGCCCCTGAGGGTGGGAGGCCATGCACTGCAGCAGGGCAGAGCTGCGGAGCACACAGGTCTCACTACAGTGAGCTGTGTCTGTATCTGTGTCTCTGCCTGCCCCTGGCTGCTCCAGCAGTGTGTGAAGGGGTCCCAGGGCTGTTGGAGAGGAGGGCTGTGCCCTGGGCCAGCTGTGGGTGATGCCTTAGCGTGTGGGATGCTGCAGGATGGGACCTACCTGGATCCTTGTTGTGATGGGCACCTGCTCCAAAGCAGGACAGAAAACTGTGCTGAAGGACCTGTGGCTTCTCCCAGCTGGAGGAGGCACCAGCGGTGTGGCTGCCTGTAGCACCCGGGTTCCCGCAGCTGCTCCCCTCCCTGGTGGTGCTGGGATTACAGGGCCCCGCACAGCCCTGTGCTCCTGCACGGGGTAGCCCCTGGCTGGGGGCCAGGGTAGCTTCTGGCCACCGCCATAGCTGTGGTGCTCTGCATCCTGCATCAGCTTCCTTCCACACCCCGTGGGATGCTGGCACAGGCTGCAGGGTGCCCATTTCTGCATGTGGATGAGGACAAGGCAGTGGCGGCCAGCCACCCCAGCACAGGGGTGGTTGTGGCCTCCCACCCTGCCTGTGGGCAACCAGGCTGCCCCTGAGGGATGCCCTGCACAGGCTGCGGTGTTGGGGTGGGGGCAGCTGCTCTTGCCCCCAAGCTTCTGGGGCCAAGCAGCTCAAGGCTGTGGGTCCTGATCCCCACTAGGGATCCATCCTGCAGCCAGGCCAGTGTGGAGGGACCATGTGGTAATGCCACAGGCTGTGGGTTGGCACTCGGAGCCAGATGGGATGTGCAGTCTCAGGCAAGTGGGATCCTGCCTACAACCAGTCTGACTCCATTGCAGCATCCTTGGGACAAAAAGCTGCTTCTGACTATTCAGCTGTTTAATGTTTAGCAGAGTCTAGCAGCATCTTACAGCTCATTTGCAGGGACTGGTACTGATTAGGGCGGGTGGGTGCTGCTTACCCCATCGCTCTTCCCCAGCTGTGCCTGGTTGCACGATGCTCCACACTGTTGTGATTCACTGTCCCGTCCCCTCCCAGCATATGATGGATGTGGCTGCTGTGGTGGCCATCTCTCGCCCAGATGTCATCAGGTCCCCTCCCTGGTCCCATAGCCTGCACCCAGAGCTGTCCTTAGAGACCCACTTGTTCCCTTGTGCCCAGGCCCCATCACCTACTGCCCAGCCGGTACGGCTGCTCTTCGCCAGTGCTCACACACACACATATTGCTGGCACCACAGACACCTCACCACCACCCTCCCTGCACTGACATGGAGGAAAGGAAGTAGTTGAAGGTGGCGTTTAATAAGGTGGCAGGACAGCCTGTGGTGATCAGGCACAGGGCATGGCCAGACTCATGTACTGACCTGTCCCTGCTGACATGCAATTACCCTCTTGTTCCCTTATCCCTCTATTTCCCATACTTGTTCCTCCCCAAATTGCCCAAATCCTCCCTTTTCCCGCCTTTGGTTCCTCCCCTGAACATCCTATAATAAATCCTGTGCTATTCCCAAATGCTCTTTCCCTGCATCCCATAATGTGTCCTGCACCCCTAGGCAGCCACCCATCTGTGCTCGCAAGGTGATCCAGAGAGCTCCCAGTGAGGCATGGTGATGGGTTTCACGCCTGGACCATGGGGCTGGTGGTTCTCCTGGGACAGCCCTGGGAGGAGCTGGGATAGGGAATGGGGGAGGGAGAGTTGGGTCCCCCCCACCTGCTCTTGTACCTCTTTGTCCTGGATTTCTGGCCATTGGCCTTTGAGGGTGCTTCTCTTCTGATGAGCCTGGGACTAGCTGGGGCAGGTTATTAATCAAATTACTCCTCCTGCTGGTGTTTGTGCCCCCTTTGTGTCTACAGCTGAGCTTATCACATCCCCTAACAGCCTGAGCTTCCTGGTGCCTTCAGCAACCAACTCTCGAACCTCTGGTCTCTCCAGGATCTGTCCCAGGCCACAGCAAAACCTGCCTCCCAGACCTCTTTGCCGGCTCACCGGCAAGTCCGGCTTGACGTTCGCTGGCAAGCACGCGTTGAGGTACACGTTGCGCGCACATGCACGCTGCTCTCTCCCTTTGCTGCCGCTCAGACCCACGCGCCCCCACGCGCAGTAGAAAGAGCCCACACCCCCAGGGAACAGCCAGAACAGAAGACCACTTTGTGGGGATCCTTTTTTTTTTTTTTAACACACAATTGTCCCCTTTTATGCCTGTTTCCCACACTTGTTCCCCCCCCGTCCCTCCCTTCCCCCAAACAGCCCATAGCCGTCCCGCCTGCCCCGAGCCCCGTGGGCAGCAGCCCCTGTTGCTGGCAGAGGGCGTCTCCCACCGACCCCCGTGGACCTCAGGCAGCCCAAGGTCTGACCGTCCTCCGGGAGCCCCCGTGGCAGCCAGGCTGGGGCCTCTGCTGGCTCCAAACAGGTCACCAGGAGCCCTCCCCAGCACAGCTCCTTGGCTCCTTTGCGTTCGCGGAGGTGAGCTGTCATCACACAACCAGCCGGGCAGTTTTAGCAAAACTCCCGATTCTGTTCTTTGAACAGCTCCACTAGGTTAACGAAAAGAACTGTAGATATAAGGGCATTTGATATGGCACGTGACGCACCACAAAGCATTTTGATGAAAAATTGCATGATAAAACATCAACAGAGCACCCAGTAAATGGTCTAAACCTGGTTACATCTCAATACAGATTACTAGTGCGAGATCACCACTAACCAGTCATTTTAGGGGACTCCACAGAGACTGGTGCCAAGTCCTATATCAAAAACTTTAATGACCAGGAAGAAAGTTTAAAACCAAACCCTCTTGAGAGCAGTGCCTTGCAGCAGGAGCAAGACAGCGGGCACATGACAGTTCAGACAAACTGCTTTTAACTCCACCAAGTGAAACTGCCTCTCAGCTCAGCCTCCCTGGCACTGCAGCTCTGGGCACTCCATCCAGGACTGGGATTTACCCTTCTCCACGAGGCTCTACAGCATCACTACTGTCCCCATTCTAAAAAGGATGTGTGGAAACTAGGACTTCAGAAATAACAAATGCTTTTAGGACTGGAGAAAGTAATTGTGCTCATTCCTGTGAGAATTCAGTCTTTATTCAAAATTTGGAGGCAACTTGGCCAGCAGGGTGGTACCAACGTACCAGGTACCGAGTTGCCCCTTAGCCAGAGTGAGACAAACCTGAAGAAACCCACTTTTGCAAAGGAAAAAATTCTCCTTGAGTGCTTCACTCGGGCAGCGCCATTCCAGGGAACACATCAGCTCATCCAGAAAGTTTCTGAGCACAGACACAGCCAGCAGCAAGTCCAACTGCAGTGCCTGCGTGTTTGTGGCTCTGAACTCCCAACCCCGCACAGGCCCGCAGGAGCCTAACTTTGACGATCCAGGGACCATAACAGTTCAGATCTGGACACATCATCACTGGGGAGCCACTAGACACAGGGGCTTAAGCTCAGGGCTACCAGGGAAGGGGCTCAAAGATGACAGAAGATCCAGGCTAGCGAGGCGTGGGCTGACTGAACTGCAGAGGCTGAAAGAACAGGCCAGGACCAGAATGGTGCAATTCATCTTCAAAGGGGGAAGACTTGTAGTGCAAGGCATTGCCAAAGGCCCTCCCCCGTGACACAGGAACCCCAGAGCAGCTGGAGGAAGTTGTGCCAGGTGACCTGGCCTGCAAACCTCATCTGTGCTTCCCTGTGCTCCACGCCATGCCAGGTGGAAGGTGAAGGGGCACAGCAGCAGGGAGTAGCAGCCAGCCTTTCCATCAGTGGTTTATAGCCCAGGGACTTCACTCCTGCGGGAGCAGCTGCAGTATCGACACACGTACAAGCTTTACACCATCCAGCACACCAGGTAGAAGCTGCCTCTTGTCACACCTTGAAGAGAGCACGCAGCTAGATGGGGTGCAGCATGCTGCAGGCAAGTTAGCTCAGGAGGGTGACTGGTACCCGTCCCTTCAGTAGACACAAACTGTCTCCAGAGACTTGTCTCCTGCTCTGTGTGCAACAGACTGTCCTCAGTTGAGCGATCTCCGGGTAATGGAGAGGGAACACCCCCAAGCACTGCAGCAGGGCTGGCGCTCTGCAACCACATGGCAGAAGCCAGCTGCTCCTTGTGAGCTGCAGACGCATCCCCCACAGTGCCCTGAGACCAGGGACAGACATTCTCCTCCCTATCCCATCTTCCT